GTGTACATGTGTTCCCCATCCTGAACCCCCCTCCCACCTCCTTCCCCATCCCATCCCTCTGGTTCATCCGGTGCACCAGCCCTGAGCACCCTGTCTCATGCATCAGACCTGGACTAGCGATTTGTTTCACCCATGATAATTTACATGTTTCAGTGCCATTGGAGAAGACTCTTGAGAGTCCCCTGGACTGTAAGGAGACCCAACCAGTCCATCCTAAAAGAAACCAGTCCTGAATATTCATTGGAAGGACTGATGCTGAAGCTGAAACTCCAATACTTTGGCCACCTGATGCGAAGAACTAACTCGTTGGAAAAGACCCTAATTCTGAGCAAGACTGAAGGCAGGAGGAGAAGGGGACGACAGAGGATGAAATTGTTGGGTGGCATCAACGACTCAATGGACATGAGTTTGAGCAGGCTCTGGGAGTTGGTGATGGACAGGGAAGCCTAGTGTGCTACAGACCATAGGGTTGCAAAGAGTCAGACATGACTGAACAACTGAACTGAACTGAAATAATTTCAATTTTTTATAGAATATTATTTGACTTCATTTCAATATGTAGTCATTAAAAGTAAATAAATAGAAACAATATATAGCAGCAGTAGCATATACATTACCAAACTGGGCTGACAACCTGCATCCAGACTTTTGAACATTGCTGGGAAGTCCCTTATAAACAGCAATGGAGTCCCAGTTGGGAAAGGATCCCAAGCAGTGCATCCACACCCAAGGGTGAGACTTCAAATTGCAGTTTTGAAGGCTCCTGCTTATAACTGCAAGCCACAAACTGATACCATCAGTTTGTATGCACAAACACAGCTGTGGTTTTGACCTTTACAGAGCTGTTTGTTTCACCTCATGAGTCACACCGCTGCTGCTCAGCTGTGGCTGACTCTTTGTGACCTCATGGACTACAGCCCTCCTCTGTCTATGGGATTTCCCACTCCAAGAAATCCTGGAGTGGGTTGCCATTTCCTTCTCCAGGGGATCTTCCCAACCCAGGAATTTAACCTGTGTCTCTTGCATCTCTAGCATTGGTAGGTACTCAGGGGGCTGGCCAAGCCTTAAAGGGCTTAAGGGATTGCAAGACTCATTCCCTTTCTTATCGAAAGTGCTGCTTGATTTCCTGGTAACAGGTGGCGTGCTTATTGGCCGGCAAGTAGTCCAGGAAAGGTCCAGCCTAGGTCAGAAGTCAGTCAGAGGCCTGCTCTCCTACTTCTGAAGCCTGAACCAGACTATCTCCATTTTAATTTCCCTACAACTATAAAAACTTTAAATACCAAGTCTTTGAATATTTAAAGTTATTTGAATAACTTTGAATGTATCAGGTAGCTCTAAAAATTTTGCATCTCAACACATAGTCTCTTCTTTTTTTACTGCTCTAAATTTAGCAACTCTATCTGAGACTATAATCCTATGATGAATCATTTCATTCTGGATTTTTTCATCTAGAAATAATTTATTGCAGGCTTTTGGCTTTACTGAGGCACACTATTTTTTTATGTTTAATTGGAGGATAGTTAATTTACAATATGGTGATGATTTCTGCCGTACATCAACATGAATCAGCCACAGGTATACATACATCCCCTCCCTCTTAGACCTCCCATTTCCCTCCCCATCCGACCCTTCTAGGTTGTCACAAAGCACCATCTTTGTATCCCTGGATCATATAGCAAATTTCCACTGACTATCTACTTTACATCTGATAATATATGTATTTAGTGCTACTCTCTTAAATCATCACTCTTCTCCTTCCTCCTTTGTGTCCAAAAGTCTGTCCTTTATGTCTGCATATTCTTTGCTGCCCTGCAAATAGAATCTTTCTAGATTATATATATATGCATTATATATGATATTTGTTATTCTTTCTGACTTACTTCACTCTGTATAATAGGTTCTAGGTTCATCCACCTCATCAGAACTGACTCAAATGAGTTCTTTTTTATAGCTGAGTAATATTCTGTTCCATTGTATATATGTACCACAACTTCTTTACTGATCTGTTGATGGACATCTAGGTTGCTTCCATGTCCTAACTACTGTAAATAGTGTGGCAATGAACACTGGGGTACATGTGTCTTTTTCTGTTATGGTTTCCTCAGGGTGTATGCCCAGTAGTGGGACTGTTGGATCATATGGTAGTTTTATTCTTAGGCTTTTAAGGAATCTCCATACTGTTCTCCGTAGTGGCTGTATCTCCATACTGTTCTTTACAGTGGCTGCAACAATTTACATTCCCACCAACAGTGCGAGAGGGTTCCCTTTTCTCCACACCCTCCCCAACATTTACTGTCTGTAGACATTTTGATGATGACCATTTTAACCCATGTGAGATACCTCTGATACCTTGCTGTAATTTTGATTTGCATTTCTCTAATAATGAGCGATGTTGAGCATCTTTTCATGTGCTTGTTAGCCATCTGTATGTCTTCTTTGGAGAAATGTATGTTTATGTCTTTTGCTCATTTTTTGATTGGATTGTTTTTCTGGTATTGAGCTCATTTTATATTTTGGAAATTATTCCTTCATCAGTTGTTTCATTGACTATCATTTTCTCCCATTCTGAGGGTTGTCTTTGCACCTTGCTTATAGTTTCCTTCACTGTGTAAGAGCTCTTAAGTTTCATCAGGTTCCATTTGTTTATTTTTGTTTTTATTTCCATTACTGTAGGAGGTGGGTCATAGAGGATCTTGCTGTGATTTATATCAAAGAGTGTTCTGCTTATGTTTTCCTCTTAAAGTTTTATAGTTTCTGGTCTTACATTTAGGTCTTTAATCCATTTTGAGTTTGTTTTTGTGTATGGTGTTAAGAAGCATGCTAATTTCATTTTTTTACACATAACTGACCAGTTTTCGCAGCACCACTTGAGGAGACTGTCTTTTTTCCATTGTATATTTTTGCCTCCTTTTCAAAGATAAGGGCCCTTAGGTACATGGATTTGTCTCTGGGCTTTCGTTTTTTTTTTTTTTTTTTTTTTTTTGCTTTTCACTTTATTTTATGCATTCTGTGTTATATATTTCTTTTTTTTAAATTTATTTTTTATTAGTTGGAGGCTAATTACTTCACAATATTGTAGTGGTTTTTGTCATACATTGACATGAATCAGCCATGGATATACATGTATTCCCCATACCGATCCCCCCTCCCACCTCCCTCTCCACCCGATCCCTCTGGGTCTTCCCAGTGCACCAGGTCCGAGCACTTGTCTCATGCATCCAACCTGGGCTGGTGATCTGTTTCAACCTAGATAATACACATGTTTCGATGCTGTTCTCTTGAAACATCCCACCCTCGCCTTCTCCCATTCTATTCTGTTCCGTTGGTCTATATTTCCGATTTTGGAGACATAGAGTTTGAATCTCATGCCCCTTTTTTACGCCATTGATAAAATGAAAAAGAAGTTCTTATGAATGGAGTTTCAAATAGCATTTGAGATGTTGGTTCCCAAAATAGTTCAGTTTGGGACAGAGTGAGTAATTTTAGGGAGAAACACATGAAGCACTTTGAAGAACTGAACAATTAAAAATATAGAAATAGTTACCTATGTGTGAGTACAGTAGAAACACAGAATACAGGATGATTAAAAGAGTGAGTCAAGGAAACTTGGAAGATGTGAGGTTTTGATTTGGACATTATATCCTAGTGCTATCCATCCTTATGGCAGTTGTCTGTATAATGCAAAGTATCTCATTTAATCATACAGAGTGAACTAAAATTGATTTTTCCAATGTCAGTCCATAAATTCTCTCTCCTGAAAGGCCTTCTAATAGAAGAAATCACTCCTGTGCTAGTTCTATGCTTTATGTGTACATCCACTGCGCACACATCACCCTCTGTTATAATTTTGCTTTTTGATGGCATTTTCCTGTGCTTGACTCTGAACACCTCGAGGGCAGAAATTATTTGTGAATCTTAGTACTGTGTCTTAATCAAAATAAATGCTTTATGAATTGATGGATAGTTGATGACTAGGTAACGACGTTAAACTAAATACTTGACAGTAAAAGTGAAGACTTTTAAAAAATATCTTATTGGTATTCTTTTTTATTTTTCTTTATTTTTAATTGAAGGATAATTACAATATTGTGTTTGTTTCTGCCATATATCAACATGGGTCAGCCGTAAGTATACATGTGTCCTCTCCCTCTTGAAACTCGCTCCCACCTCCTACCCCATCCGACTTCTCTATATTGTCACGGAGCCTTGCTTTGAGTTCCCTGAGTCATACATCAAATTCCCACTGGCTATCTATTTTACATATGTTAGTGTGTATGTCTCCATGCTACTCTCTCCTTTAGTCCCTGCTTCTCCTCCATATCCTCCACACACATGTCCCCTAAGTCTGTGTCTCTCATTGCTGCAAATAGGTTCATCAGTACCATCTTTCTAAATTCCATATATATGCATTAATATACAATATTTGTTTTTCTCTCTCTCTGACTGACTTCACATTGCATAAAAGGCTCCTAGGTCCATCACATTATTAGCACTGAGTCAAATGAGTTTCTTTTTTTGGCTGAAAAATATTTCACTGTATATATGTACCTGGGCTTCCCTGGTCGCTCAGATAGTAAAGAATCTGCTTAAAATGCAGGAGACCTGGGTTCAATCCCTGGATCAGGAAGATCCCCTGGAGAAGGGAATGGCTACCCACTCCAGGATTCTTGCCTGTAGAATCCCATTGAGGAGGGGTCTGGCTGCCTGTAGTCCACGGGGTTGCAAAGAGTAAGCCACAGCTGAGCACAGCTTCTTTTTCCATTCATCTGTTGATGGACATCTAGGTTGCTGCCATGTCCTAGCCATTGTAAACAGTGCTGCAGTGAACAAGGTGGTACATGTGTCTTTTTCAGTTTTGGTTTTCTCAAGGTATATGCCCAGCAGCGGGATTGTTGGGTCATATGGTAGTTTTATTCCTAGTGTTTTAAGGAATCTCCACACTGTCTTCCATAGTGGCTATATCAATTTACATTCCACTGACAGCGCAAGAGGGTTCCCTTTACTCCACACCCTCTCCAACATGTATTGCTTATAGATTTTTTTGATGATGGCCATACTGACTGGTGATGTCTCTTTGTAGTTTTGATTTGCATTTCTCTGATAAAGGGAGATGTTGAGCATCTTTTCATGTGTTTATTAGCCATCTGTATGTCTTTAGAGAAATGTCTTTATGTCTTTTGCCCACTCTTTGATTGGGTTGTTTGTTTTTCTGTTATTGAGCTGCATAAGCTGCCTGTATATTTTGGAGATTAATCCTTTGTTGGCTGTTTCATTTGCTATTATTTTCTCCCATTCTGAGGTTTGT